AGTGGACCCAAAAGCGGTTTGAAGATCCTGGTAAAAGAATATTTTGCGTGTGGATCTGAGGGCTCAGAAATGGCATTCTTTTCATACTCGCTTTTATATTTTGCATAAAGAATCGGCAGCAGCACCAGGATAAATACAATGACAATGGCACAGGAAGAAAATTTTTGTAAAAAGGCAAATATCCCGGACCGATAGACTCTCCAAAATAGGTAGTCGTGGAACTTTAGTGGAATCAACAAAAAATCCCTAAAAAAGGTGTAATTTACTGCCATATTTGAATGGAAAGCGGAAGAAATCGACGAAATGGAAGAAAATATGTTGGTTGGGATACATTGTTCGTCCGTCGCAACCATGATTGCGTCGTTTGACTTTAAAAAAAGAATGCGTGGATTGTTGTCCTCCACGCATGCATATGCGTCGATTGGAAGGCCGTCATCTCTTTGTAGCGAACCACGTGCGTTTAAAAGCAGAGCGATGAGCAGGATAAGCTCTGACATAAATTAATACATTAATTAAATTGGACAATAAAATTTGCTATTTATGAAGAATTGCACACCCGGCCGTAGGGTAACAAGTTGCAAGATTGGCGTGTGGCGTCGCTTTGAGATCTTGAAAAATCTGTGTATGGCGTCACTTTGACATTTTCCCTTCAATGTCCTCAATTTCAACTGGAATGCTCTCCGTGAGATTCTCAAATGTGCTCCACCCAACGGCAATGTTGTTTTCTAGCCTTATTCCAAGCCCGTGGTACCTATGTCGTTAAATGGATAACCGGCACTTTGATGGGTATTTTGCGCTTCTGGGAATGTACAAGCCCGGCTCAATTGTAATGACATTGCCGGCTACAAGTTTTTTATCCTGAGAATAAGATGGCACATCATGTAAATCGAGGCCAATATGGTGGCCAATGTTGTGAAAGTAAAGATTCCTTGTCAAATCGCGCATTGAAACCGAAAATCCAAGCTTGTTAAGCCCCTCATGCAGAAGATACACCGATGCCGTATATATGTCGGAAATAGAGTATCCCAATTTCTCACTGCACATCTACTGTTATGCAAACGGAAGCTACCTGTGTGCAATACTTTAAAGTATTGAGGACAACCGTATACAGTTCCTTTTGAGGGTCTGAAAATCTTCCAGACACCGGGAAGGTCCTGGAAACATCTGAACGATAGTGAAAATATAAAGCCCCAGCATCAATTAGCACAAGAGAACCCTGCCGTAAAAGTGCTCGATTTTTCGTGTAGTGCAAGACAAGTGCATTTTCGGATCCCGCAACAACAGGTTCATAAGAGAGGCTGGTGGCATTTCCTTTCACAATTGCCCCATGGGATATTATGGATGCTAAAGCATGCTCTGAAAGGCCAGCATGGCATGCTTTAAGCGCCTAGGAAACCCCAAATATGTGACTTACATCGTTAAAGCCAAAGGAAATTGCATTGGAAGCCTTTCTAATTAGGTCGATTTCCTTGGAGCTTTTAACAGAGCGGTGGCCCTCTATGATGTCGTCAATCGGTAGGAGAGGCGTTCCATCTAAATTTACTGTCGTTGCAAATTACGTATGGCTGGAAAAATGGACGATGCAAAAGATGCAGATGAGGAGGAAAAATCCGCACTCACGCCAGAATGAAAGATTCGCTTAATCGAATGTGATGAAATAAAATCGGTTAAAAATCCGGGAAGCTCAGACGCATATTTGGCATCATCGACGCCAAAAAACAGCGTGGCTCTGGAGGGTCCAATATTTGTCCCATGAAATTGGACGTTTGCTTCCTCCTCTTTGGCGCAAAAGAGGATCGATCTCCCTAAATGGGATCAGAAATATTGGGATACCTGTTTCTGATATGAGAAGCGCACTTTCAGGCTCATCAAAGCCACAAAGATAAAGCATGTTCGTGCTTTGCTGAAACGGATAGCTATCAAGGGAGGATGCGAAGATATTTACAATACAGGCCCAGTTGCAAACCGTAGTCTATTTCCAACAATCAAAATCAAGCTTTTCTCTGGAAGAGCTTTTGCGAGCAGTCTCCTACGGCTGGAGAAGATGTCCAAATCGATTCCCGGCATCACTACTTATAAGGATCAAATGAAACCTTCATTTCTATTTAAAAGATGAGGGTGAGTGCATGGCAAAATCTCTCCATTTGTTGGGAGTATGTTGAGCGGCGAGGATGAAGAGGAAAACGACGATGCCGATGCCGATGCCGATGCCGATGAAAATAGTCTTTTAAAGGGTGACAACCATCGAATGGGAAAGCGAATCCGACTTCTTGCCAAAGTCATGGTGCGCAGAATTTTTAAAAATGGAGCTACCACCGCAATTTATTGAAATTGGCCCCCAATGCGTGTGGCTCTCATCGTCCAATAAATTGGGCCATGAAGTTGCCTTTCTCCAAGACCAATCGATAGATACATTCTGGCAGTATTTCACGATCCCCTTTCATATTAGATCCGATGGAACACTACCCCACCAAATCACGATAATCCTGCCGGAACTTTGTATGCTAAAGGTAGCTAGTAGCTTTCTTTCCAGCTAAGCGACTTGAAATATATGCCGATATGTCCGCAGATGAAAGCTACACGCCCTTTGAGCTCAGCATCCGTGCAGGTCTACTGCGTCATGAACAGCAGGTATGCGCTTGAAGTTTTTATTGCCAGGAGCTCCATTTGATTGAGCTAGACAATCCCAATGGAGAAATGATAATTCCTCTGGAGGACGATTCCGAAGGGTTTGACATTCTTATTTCTCTTACTGGCTAGCCCCATTATTGCCCATGTCCTTTCAATACAAATCAACTCAAACTACATGGAGGGGAAGGACTCTAGAATTCGTCGGGTTAGAGTAATCGGATTGCCCGTCAGGTATCAATCGGCAGTGATATTTAGCTTAGTTTATTAAAAACGCCCCATTAGCTTGCACTAAAAACGTCAGGAAAAGCCCTTCAACACTTTCTTTTTCAAGTAATCCCAATAGTTCAAAGGAGTCAATGTCCTTAAGCCTTCTAATAAACCGAGAAATCTTTTCGAAATGATCATCGTTTAAGTCGCATCTAATTTCTGTGCTATTTTCGATTTCACACGATGAAGCAGCAGCAAATGTTTGATGGCAATGGAACAGACTGTCATTTTCGGTGTATATTCTGATTGGGATCGCTTTTATAGAACGGGAGTTTAGTTTCAATAAAGAAAGCTCCTCGTCGTACAATATGCTATCCACTTCATCTGAGGATAGGCAATCCAATGGTTTTGTATTTCCCGTCAAAAGAAAAATAGACTAAATCGATATGGAATCGATGGCGCCATACCTGTTTGAGACGATTGTATTTTACATTTCTTCCATAAACTTCACAAGCACTTATATACTGCCCGGTCAGTGATGGGGGCAATGAGTCCATTGATTTGGTGTTGACCACGTAAAGAAGTATTGAGCTCATCTGAAGCATGCCAAATGTAATGGAAGTCTCTAGATGCCTATCAGACGGGGTTATCAACAGCATGTTATATTACCAAGGGACAAGTAGCAGGCGATCCTCTCTTTTGCTGTTGACCGTCAAAGCCCAGAGCTTCAATGGGTTTTGAGGTTTAAAATGGATCTCCCGGATTGTAGAGAAATGGTTTTCCTCAACATCGCACTGAGAAAGGAGAAATTCTTTTCCCTTATAGCAATTTTTTTGGATGTGAAGTAAAATATCACCAAATAAATCAATCCACAGAACACGGCGAGATATTTGTCTAAGCTAAATGTCAATTTTTAAAGATATACCGAAAGAGTAGGGATGTCTACAACGGACCCCCTGTATATGTAATGTAATCTGGAAAAGTCAAATTGAATTGAAAAGTGGACGGAATTCGGAGGTTCAAATGGGATGCTATTTGTCATTAAAATTTAAACTTTGAGGATTTATTTTTATTTCAATGCTTTCTTCAAAGGAAATTCGCCAAGTCAAAGACAAAAAGGTCAAGAGTATCCTCAAAAGGTCACAGCAGCAGCTATCGGAGGCCACTTTTCTCAAGAAAAAGCTTCAAGAATATCTTCAGCCACCGCGTGCTGGATTTATCCAAGTAGAAGGACCCTTTGAGGATAGTATTAAAGTTACGCAACACGAGATTAAGCAAGAAGTTCCCATCTCAGCATCTTATAAGGTATCCAATTTTGCTTCTAAGCATAGGCATTTAATTTAGCCCTAAATGATGGCCCCTATTCTACCAGTTATACTAGAAATGGCCGTTATTTGGCCATAGGAGGGTCGACCGGACACATTGCAGCTTTTGATTGGAAGCAGGGAAAACTGGTATGTGAGATCAATGTTGAAGAGCCGATTTACGATATAAAGTATGCTTGTGTTTAACATTAACCCCAGATGGCTTCATAATGAGAATTTGCTTGCTGCTGCACAAAAGAAGCAGGTTTTTCTTTACAATTCGAGTGGAGTTGAAGTTCATTCTCTGAAGGAACACACCGATGCTACGTGTCTTGATTTTTTGCCTTATCATTTACTTCTTGTTTCCGGAAGCCGGTCAGGAATTATCAGATATCAAGACATTTCGACCGGGAAAATAGCTGCAGAATGGCCTACCAAATTAGGACCCATTCAAGCGCTAACACAAAATCCAAGTAGCGCAATTATGCACCTTGGACATGCTTCTGGAACGGTAACCTTTTGGTGTCCATCTACAAATGGACCGCTTGTCAAGATGCTTTGCGGGAAAGGTCCGATCTCATCGATTGCCATCAACCAAGGAGGAACCGTGATGGCTACATCATCTGCAGATACCACGGTTAAGCTATGGGATTTGAGAACATACAAGCTGCTTGAGGAATATAAAACTCCGCTCTCCCCAACAAGTCTTGGAATCTCACAGACAGGGCTGCTTACGGCAACGTTTGGATCCTCGGTCCTGGTAATTGATGTTTTTTAACATTCCTAGATATGGAAGGATAGCTGGAAAGAAAAGCAATCCAAGCCATATATGAAGCATGTCGTTAAAGGATCTCCTGTCCATAAGGCAACATTTTGCCCATTCGACGATGTCCTTTGTGTGTCCCATTCAAGTGGCATTGATAGTATATTGGTCCCGGGAGCCGGAGAGGCCTACTTTGATAGCATGGAGATAAATCCGTTCGAAAATAAACGGCAACGTCAAGAGGGAGAAATCAAGCAACTTTTAGAGAAACTCCAGCCTGATATGATCTCTCTCAACACGGAGTCCATTGGCCAACTTAGAAAAGATCGCACCATTAGCATTAACCCGGCCGATCGGGATCTTACGGAAGAACAGCTTGCCACTAAGAGGGAGTTTAGAAAAAAGAGGGGAGTAAACAAGTATCTCAACAAACAGAAAAATGTCCTTGATGCCAAAAAGCAGCTTATAAAGGAGAAGATTGAACAGCAAGAGGCCTTGAATGCACAGGCATCTTCATCGATCCACGGAATGCCCATTCTTGACCGGTTTAAAAGATCTCGATGACCGATAATTTATTCTTAATAAAATACTATATAAAGTGCTCAAATGAAAAGCGTATGTCCTCGGTGCTGCTTGTGTCCATGCCCTTCTTTTTGTCGACACAATCGCCAGAGGTTGTGGGCGATTTGGGGCTTCCAGGGGCCTTTGAGGTTGAAAGATTTTCCTGTGGAGCGGAAGAAGCCGGATGTTCTGCTGGATTTTCAGATGGCCCTTTAGATTTTGAGGAGCCCTTGCCTTTGAAGAGGCTTTTGGAAAATGTCTTGATTGATCTGATGAACTTTTTCTTTTTTTCTTTCAAATTTTCAATCTTATCTATGGCTTTGGAGAGTATATCACATTTCTTATACCTGTGCGAGCAGGGCAACGAAAGCGACACCCTCAGTCGCTCAAACAGGTCTTTCAAATAAAACTTGTTTTTCCTCGTAACTTTTGTATCGGACCAGTGCGAGGGTGCTGCTTTTGAGGCTCCGTTTGGGTCAAACAACTCGCCGGCTGAATAGGACACCACATCCAGCCTACCTCTTTTGAATCCCGTATTTTTTTTGATCGTATTTGATTTTGTAGTCGGAATAAGAGGGAATGATGCGGTTTGAAGTTTTGTGTTGCTACCAACAGATGGGGCAGTCGATTTCGGTGGGAATACATTTGAACGCTGCAAGCTGGTGTTTGGAGTGGCTGTTGACGCCAGAATTTCGGGCAATGCCCTTGATGGGACCGTTAGGGCCGTTGATAACGAGCTATGAAATGTTTGTATACAAGAAAAAGGCGTGGGTTCTTCTGGCTGGCTCGATGATAATGGCGACGTCGCGATAGTTGTATTCGAATGCGTAGGAGTGATGCATAAAGACCCCTTCCTTTTTGGCTGGCTCGGTGCTGCGTGTGTTTGTGGCGACGGGCCATTTAATAACCACAGAGCAGTTGTACTTTGAGGCCCTATCGAGCTGGACCTGGATGATGCAATATAGAGTTCGGAAGGATCGGTGTTTGGCGAATATTTCGGAAGAATCGTTCGCAAAGGAGATGGTTTTCGGTTTCGCTGCATAGGCGGTATTTTCTCGCGGGCCGGCAAGGTAAGTTGAGAATCCAGATTTTCTCGCTTTTGAGAAAAAATAACGGGAGAGGGCAAGATGAGACCGGGTATTCTTAAGCCAATAAGTTCAGATACGTTAACAAACCTTTCGCCCTTGGTATGAGCAAAATTGGGCGCAAAGAGGCTTTCTTGACCAATGTTTCCGGTTCTATGTGATGGACCATGTCCGGTTGTAATGCTTTCAAGTGTCACCTCTGCAAGGGTGTCCAGCAGGCTGAACTCAAGCTCATCTCTCGCCGTTGCTGTCTGCAGAAACATTGAAGAGAGGATTGTCGAATAAGAAGGAATATATGGGCGGCGCGAGGCGAGGTGATACAAATGGAATTTCCAAAAAAAAAGGCTTACTAAGTCAGTTGCAATTGCACCAATAGGATAGGTGTTATTGTTTGACTTGATTTCCAACAGAGCAGCCCTGTGATGTTGGACCTTTTTGGGCCGTTCAAACACGCCAGCGTTCCCAGGGTTGCCTTGAGACCCGATCACGAGCCGCTCGATCGGCTTCGCCGCGACAAGTCCTAATGTAGGATGCGCACCAATATTTTGAAATTTTAAATTTACTATTTATGTACAGGAGGCAGTGAAGGACTGATCGGCAATCAATCCAATCAAGATGATGATATCGTCCGGCTTGCCTGATTGGAATCTCCGGGTTGATACGGCAGGCCTGTTTTTCAAGCCTGGAGATGTTAAAAACGACATTCTCGCTTTGGATAGCAGCTGAGCACTTGAGGCGGCCAGGGAAGACCCAATTTGGCTCTTTTGGATTGCCCCGCTGGATATGTCCGTGGAGAGCAGGGAAAGCCTGTTGACGATTTCTGCTTCTTCCATGTTGTCGAATAGCCCATCTGTTGCCAGCAGAACGATATCGCCCGGCTTTGGCGCAATCAATTTTACAATGCCATCTGAAGGCCGAGTTTTGCTTTTAGGTCCGAGTTGGTATGGAGTGTTATACTGGTAACACTGGGGAGACGAGCGGAACAAACACTTTCCTTCTCGCATCAGAATGATACCTGAATCTCCAAGATTGAACAGACACAAAAGATCTTCTCGAAGTAAAAGAGCAAAAGACAGCGTAGAAGAGCCGAGGATGTGACGAACCTGCAAACAGGCTTTGTCAACAGACTCGTAAAGAAGCTGGGCCGGGCCGGCTGAAGGTATGGCGGAAAGGTCCGTTTTTATCAGAAATTGGTACAGTGCATGCAAAAGTGACCGCGCGTATGCGGCTGCATTTGCTCCCGGCACGGCGGCCCAGCCCCCAACGCCATCGGCAACTGCCAAAAGGCTCCTTGTTGCCAAGAAAGCATCATCTCCGGACCCGTAGGAATTGCATTGCTCGGTCGGCTTAACTAAGCCCTTTTCTGGATGGTGATGTGGCCAGCTACTAGATCCATAGATAAATGATAATTTAGAGCTCTCTGAAGAGGAGACGGTCCCACTTGGTGCACAATCTCTATCGTTCAACGGAAAGGCGTCTTTGGATGATGAGGAACCGTCATAGGACCCTTTCGAGGACGAGGTTTGAGAATCGGGGATGAAATAGGCAAATTTTATTGGACATTCAACAGGAGATGATCTAAGAAAAGAATGGCTGCGAATGCATTTGTATTTGTGATTGGAGTGTGATTTTGCCCCCGGGTAGAAAAACAATGACGATATGGCGCCCCTGAACGGATATAGGGAGGTACGAATAAAGGCTCTAAAATCCATAATTAAAATTTAAAGGATTAAAATTTAATCAAATTCAGTGCAACCCAAGAATTTCACATGCTCGTCTGTAATGCTGCACAGGAGGGTGATGTTGAATTTAGAAAGGCCAACCCCAAATCGATCCCGTCTTTGAAGACAATTTTGCGAAAATGCCCGCTAGCCCTCTTCAAATCAAACTGCGCCATGCTCAAACGTGCACTTGAGTGCGGCATTTCAACCGAAATTAATTGGGCGCTAGGAAGGATATCTTTAATTACATCTGTTTTGGGAGACCTAAAAAAATTTGAGCCATCCGACCTAAAAAAGCGCAATCTTTCAACATCTGCAATCCAATCTGCGCAATTTAAAAACACGCTCATCCTGGAGGAGTACCAAAAGCTGCTGTCCGAGCAGACGTTTCCTTCCGATGAGCTGGTTTCTCGAATATCGTATCACGCGTTTCCCTTTTTCAAGATGATCGGGGTATTGCTTGAAAATCCGGAATCCGCTGTTTCTGGTTTGAAAGACTTGATATGCGAGCTTTCCACGCCATCTTCGTATTATTTTGCAATGCGGGCCGAACCGTCCATCAGAGGCTTTTGCTCGTGGGCCTTGCTGAGATATACCCAAATCTTGGTTATCTTTCTCAATCTGGCGAGATCTGGGCACGTGTCCTATTTGTCATCCTTTGCAAACCGGTCCATCGTGCTGGTGTCATCATTGGTAGAGAAAGATTCTAGGCCATTACTGCAATGCTGGGAAGCCCTTGGATTGTCGCCTCAGCCACTTGCCTCTCTTTCGCTAATTGTGTTGGAGCTGGTGTCTTGTACCAAAGTTTACAGCTCTTTGCCATTTATCAGCTGCCTGACGTCAATTATCTTGAACTCGTCAGAACTAGCCTGGGTATATGCGGTAAGATGCTTCAAACCCGATTTTATCAAAAGCAACATGCTTTCCAAGCAGCAGATTGCATCGATGCTTGAGCGGTCCTCTTACATTGCTATCTCGTCGAGCAAGAACCCCATTGAAAGGATCACGGCTCTGTTTTTCATCCAGATGTTATTAGAAAATTCTGCAAACGAAGCTGGCTTTTCAGAAGCTCTTTTAAGCCATTTATTTGATACCACATTGCACTTGTATTTGTGCGCAGTGGTGCCATGTGTCAAAGCGTCGCAGTGCTCTCACACGGTGCCGTCGCAATCGGGCTCGATTCAGCTTTCGCAATCTCAACTGGCATTGAAATACCTATCGCTTTCATATGAATCACATAAAGCAGTCAATGCCACCGAAAAAGAGGCTACGATTTCGCTAAAATCCGTATATTCCCAGTATCTGTCCTGGCTGCCGCACAATAATGAGCCGGCCCTCTCCATTACCGACCTAATTCCTCTAATACGCCAAGTGTTTCCCAACTGCATTCAAAACCTGAAGCCGATTTTTTGCCAATGGCATAACTGTACCTATAGTTCTCTTTTCGGAATCGATGACCATTTCTTTTCTACCCACGCCGGTGGAAATAGATGCAAATGGGGGGATTGTGATCAGGAGTTTCCTTCATCCGACGATCTGGCCCGCCATTTCTGCTCGTTGCATTCCCAAATTCAGAATATCCAGCTGGCCGATGTTCGCGTCAAGAAAGACAACCTTATCCCCATTGAAGTGCCAGATGTTCAACTTGAGCTGTCTCGTCAGCTTTTGAGAATACTTGAGCTTTTTAAGAGATTCGCTGCACATATCAGGCCCATTCTATGTACACACTTGGAGACAATTTCGATGCTCTGTTTTGTCCCATCCTTTGCGGGCGAGCCTGCAGAGGATGCTTTTGATAGGGTACGTATCTGCACAACCCTCCTAAGTCTATATTAACGTTAATTTTGTACAAATAAAATTTAAAATTCCAATTGCTGCCTGGCTTGGTTCAATGAGCACCGGCAACCCCAACCATCCCAATGGCAATGTCAAGCTTGATTTGGCACTTGACGATATCATTAAATCCGGTCGCCCTCAAAAGGGCTCCTCTACCGTTCCTCGCGCCGAAAAGAGCAGGAAATGGGAGCATGACATGTTTTCTCGTAAAAAGCGGGACCATCAACATCGCAGGGATCGCCATCATCGAGGGCCAGAGAAAAGACACGCAACCAATTGGGGATATTTAATTAAAATATCCAATTTGCATTGGGAAGTCACCAAAGACGATGTCAAAGTGAGCCCAATTTTATTTACCGCTAGAAATTTTTGGAATCGCTCCAGGACTGCCCGCCCTTGGGCCAGATTTCAATAATTTATGATAAAAGCGGTCGTTCAGAGGGCATTTGCCACATTAAGGTTCGCTCAATGGACCATGCCAAGAAAATGATTTCCCTGCTTTCGGATAAGGAAATCAACGGCAGCCCCATCACCGCTGCCATTGGAAATGAGCAGGAACCGCCGTCAAACGATGCCGCCGATCCAGATGGAGCCAATAAAATGGTCATTTAGATGGCATAGTTCAAGTAAATCGTTATTCCCTTTTCGAACTTTCCGATCCTATTTACCTCTATTTCGAGATCGATTGCGCCGGAAGCTCTTGCTGCTTCGACCACACAGGATCGATTCGAATTTCGAGGAAGAAAAATAATTACTTTAGGTGCAACCTGCGAAAGGCTCGTCAGTATCGATACAAGCGTAATGCCATCAAATAGGCCATGGATGTCAAACTCCGTGGCCTCCATGTAAGAAATGCCTCCCCATGGCGGGCTCATGAACACCACGTCAGCCCAGTGTCGGCGAGTAGGACCGGCTTGGATCAGGTCAAGCCAGCCTGATTGGATAAATTGGATTTTGCCTGCAACTCCATAAATATTGGCATTATATCGAGCCAAACAAAGACGAGTAGCGTCAATGTCAACAGAAAAAGTGACCAGGGCCCGCTGAGCAAATTGGATCGAGTTACCTCCGCACCCACAACAAAGGTCAACGACAATGTCTGACTCCATCACGCGAGATGCCTGCTGAATGGCAATTTCCTCTGGAGTTACCGAATACCACCCCTCCTTGTCAAGAACAACGCCCGAATTATAGAGAGAAAACAGCGAAAATCGATTTTTGTAATACTTGGCCAGCTCTGGATGAAGAACAGTGCAAAGATGCTTGTTGTAGTCATCAGTAGTGTACGTCAGTGGCTTTACCTTTTCAATCGGTTCGACATGCCACACACATTTGGCCCTAAGAGCACCCCTGGAGCAGCTTGTTCTTCTTTTCAAAGCCATTAAATTAAAAAAAAATTGCAAACTCAATCTGCGGTTGGCCAAATGAAACTCCAGTTTGTATCGCCACAAAATTAAATGCTGGTTTTTCTTATTTGGCCCTTTGCAATAAAAGGCTTGGGGTGTCATTATCATAAGGTTGGCAAAAACTACTTGCACACGGCCCAAATGCCGGGAACATTCTGAAATAAATTCCGTTTATTAACCCGATAATGGGGATGAAAGAGCTGCAACACCTGGTAAAACTTTACCCTCAAGAAGCTCCAAGCTGGCTCCTCCTCCAGTGCTGACGTGGCTCAAACTTTCAGAACATCCCCACTTTTCAACAGCCGTCGCTGTATCACCCCCGCCGGCGATAGAAATGCATCCATATTTTTCTGTGGCCTCAACAACAGCTTTCAATGCTGCTTTGGTTCCATTAGCGAATGGCTCCAATTCAAACACACCCAATGGGCTAAATTAATTAGTAAGGCTTGGGAATTACCCATTCCAAAGGACGCATCTGGAACGAAGGATGACTTCAGAAAAGAGCTCGCGCGACTTTGGGCCAATATCAAAGCCTTCCCAGCCATCTGGAATTCCCTCCTCCTCGGTGACAATACGGATATTTGAATCGGCCGAAAATTTGTCTCCAATCACAAAATCAATTGGAAAATGGAGCTTAACATTTTTTGCGGCGGCTTTTTCAACTAAAGAGCGAACAATAGTTGCTCCATGGGAATCGAACAGAGAATTGCCAATCTAAGGGTTATAATTAAGCCCAAGTGACCAACCTGCATTCCATCCACAATTTTTTTGAAGGTGTATGCCATGCCTCCGCCAATGATCATTTCGTCGACCTTGTCGAGTAGGCTTTCAATCAGAAGGATCTTGTCTGAAACCTTGGCACCTCCTAAGATAGAAAGAAAAGGATGCGCGGGATTTTCCAAGGCTTGGGCAAAGAGGCGGAGTTCTTTGCTCATAAGAAATCCAGATGCCCTAACATCCATATCTACGCCGACCATCGAACTATGGGGGCGATGTGCAGTTCCGAAGGCATCATTAATATAGACATCGCCGAGCTTGGAAAGCGATGTGCGGAAGGCTTCAATCTGCTCTGGCGTTGCAACGAGCTTAGTGCCATCTTTCTTGGAAACTTTTCCCTCCTCTGCAAGATGAAATCTCAAGTTTTCCAACAAGATAACCTGACCATTAGAGGCTGAGGAACAAGCAGCTTCGACATCAGCACCAATGCAATCATTAAGAAAGCTGACTGGGCGTCCCAAAAGCTGGCCAAGACGCTCACCGACAGGCTTCAAGGAATGCTTAGCCACCACTTGGCCGTCTGGGCGTCCAAGATGGCTCATCAGAATGAGCGCTTTAGCACCGTGCTCCAATATATAGTTGATACTTGGAAGGGCAGCTTTGATTCTTTGGTCGTTGGTGATGTTCAGATTTGAATCCAGGGGAACGTTAAAGTCCACGCGCATCAGAACACGTTTGTTTTGGAAATCGACGTTTTCAATTGATAATTTGTTAAGTGTGGTAGAAGACATTAAATAAAAAAGGAAGGGTAGCGTGAATTTAAATTTAACATTTTACACCACTAGTGGGGCGTAATTGTGGTGCCTTGGCGGGCCAATTTTAATTTCGAGTCTTTTTCAAATTGAGCGGATGGTTTGCCGTCGAATTAATCGGGATACCAAACTATACGTTACCAGTAATCACACAACCAATCTAATTTATTGAGTCTGAAAACATGTCTTTCTTCAATAGGGCAATAGCTTTTCCAGGGTTCAAGCCCTAGTTTAAATTGTCATCAACAGCAATAAATACAAACCTTGGGGCAGGATTTTGCACAGTTCATAATTGTATGGCATCTAAACACCGAGAAAGGGTCCTGTAAAGCGGCTCTTCTTTCCCTTGCAAAATCGTCTCTGGAATCGATCATCCAGCGATATGCTTGCATGAGGACTGCCGGCCCCAGATACTTGTCAGAATTCCACCAGTAACTGGGGCAAGACGTGGAGCAACACGCACAAAGGATGCACTCGTACAGGCCATCAAGTTTTTTTCTCTCCTCGATGGATTGAAGGTTTTCCTTGGTATCCAGAGTGGGTGGCGTTTTTTTCTTCAAAAAGGGCTCAATCATCTGATACTGCTTGTAAAAATGGCTCAAATCCTAGCTCAATGTTTACATACTAAACAACGCTTACCGGAACCAGGTCTTTAATCACATGCATGTGTGGAAGTGGATATATCTTCATGTCCTTTCCCAAATCGTCAGTGTTGATTTTACAAATACAAGCAAGCGTGTTGCTACCGTCGATGTTCATTGCGCAAGACCCACAAATGCCTTCTCGACAAGACCTTCTGAAGGTCAATGTTTGGTCCTGTTGATCCTTGATTGCAATTAGCGCATCAAGAACCATGGGGCCGCACTTACCAAGATCCACTTGATACTCCTGCATTCTCGGCTTAACGTCGGGGGTCTCTGGATTCTAACATAGTTAGCTAAGCACTAGTCAAAATACACCCATCTGTAAATGGCGAATTTTTTGAATTTAGGCACGCTAGGCGTGCCCGCTGATGCAATGGATGTTGAAAACAGGCGACGGATTGCCATCGGACACAGGTGCACCAAGTATTGCTAAAAAATCACAGAACTTAAATTGTTTATTTGAATTTCAAATGATGTTGATGGCCTTCAATTCATCCATGGAAAAAGAGGCAATTTTTGTATTCGATGCGGTCAGACTTTCCCTTGCCTGCAAGATCTGCTGCTCCATTGCAGATATTCTTTCCTGGATTTCAGCCACCTTTTTGGCATGCTAAAGTTAGACGAAAAAACTACCATCTCTCGTTTCTTATCAAACTCCGAATCGTCGACTTTTGCCTGTGAAGAGGAGTATCGCCTCTTTAGCATCTCCTCTGCTTGCAAATAGCATTTCTCGATATCAATGTCCTTGCCAATATAGCTATGCAAATAAGAAATACTCGCTCACATGAAAGGATGGCCGCTTTTTTCTCCAGAAAGCAGCCCATTAATAAGTCGATTCATTCGATAGTTTTCATAAAAAGTGGTGCGAGATATTTCCATGATCTTGAAAAGCAGCGTTCGCGCCAGTAAGGCTCTTAGCTTTGAAAAATCGCAGTAAGCCTCATCCTCAACTAAAATTGAAAGCCAGGTTTGAAATACTCTCGATCACACCCCATGGATAGGTTCGGCTTTTTCCTGCTTCGACTCCACAAGTGCCGTTGCTCAAATTATTGGTAATTGCAAATGGAAGCGAATCCTAGCAGATTAGATGATATAAGCCCGGCATCATACAAGTATTTCTGTTGAGCGTAGAGAAAACTCATCTTTGCCGCCTTCTTCTTTAAAAAGAGATAAAATGTTCGGGGAAAGCAGCGTCTGGATTCCATGCTTAAGGAGGGTCTTTTTTATGTTCGCTTTTGCAGCGTTCTTCTCAGACTGGGTTAGAATTTCAGCCTTCGTAAGCACTGGAATGACCAGCAGCTTTTCGGAAAGCTTTTTCATTGTTATCAAGTCCAGCTTGCTTATTGAAGATCTGACTGCGGAAAGAAAGTACACGCATGCGTGTATTCTGTTGTCATGTATCGACGCTCTAAAGGTGGGTGAAACCTCTTGCTCCAAAAATTGTTCGTATTGAGCATCGACAAAAGAGACGATCTTATTCCAACAGTTGAGCTGATTGATGCTATTTCCGTATTTTGAGACGCTGATTACGGTCACCTGTACGGGCATGCTTTTTTCGACGAAATCTAAAATTGAATGTCGATGGGATCGATACTTGCTCTAAACTTTTCCAAAATAGCCTCAGGTGGGACTTGAAGTGAAGCAAGCTCAATGATCTTTTGGCCATTACACAGCGACACCTCTTCAAGTGAAGCTCCGTTCGAGTTTTCAAGTGTAGCAAACGGAACATATTCGCGGGGTGAAGATGAATCAATTGATACTTCCAGCAGGGATTGAAGGAAGGCCTTTTTCCCAACGTCGCCCTGGCCTACGTTAAATGGCTCAATGTTTTGGGACTCCTACCTGCAAACAGCAGATTTAGAGAAAGGCCTTGCTTCATGGCAAAGCGATAGGCTTGGTTTGGGATGTTTGCTATTCCAAGGTTACTTACATCTGCAGGCAGCAATGCAATGGTGTCTCTATTGTTTGTCAGACTGTTAATATCATTTGGATCTTTAGACATCTATGTATTTCAGTCTAAAAATTCGTATTATTGTCTTTGGATTTGCCGTTACTATGGAACATTACATCAAATTTGGAATTCTTAAATTTAGCAATTATAAACGAGGCTCTTAATTTTCAAAAACCTTGACCGCATGTAATACCACAAAGTGATCCATTTATTCATTCATTTATTTATTTATTTATTCATTTATTTAAAATGGCCTATAAAGTGCCATAATTAATTTGAGCCAATATTTTTTTTAACTTTAATAATGGAAGATTCCCGCTTTTCTCGTCTCTTGAAAGATCCCAGGTTCGTCCGACCTAAAAAAAAGCAGTCTAAAGTATCAATAGATAATAGATTTAAAGAAATGTTTACTGACGAGCAATTCACGGGCAAATCTGCCTGCAAAGTAGATAAATTTGGTCGCCTGATTAGCGAAAAAGAGGCAGCACAAAATTCCACCAATGCTGTCAAGTCGTTAAAAAGGTTCTACAATTTGGAGGAGGAAGATTTTGATCCCAAAAATATCTCTTCTAAAGAAAACGACGATGGCGAAAGCGTAGCCAATGGTGGTGTGCCCATGTGCCAGGAAAGCATCCATTCCTCCAATTCATCATCCGAAGATGAGCAGGAACACTCTTACTCTTGCAATCCAGCAGCAATTGATCACGAAACCATTACAATTGGAGATGCAACTGCTCGCCTGGCATTTGTGAATTTAGATTGGGATAACATCCAAGCACAGGATATCTACCAACTAGCATATAGCTTTAAGCCGCCTCTTGGGCAAATTTTGTCTGCCAAGATTTACTATTCCTCGTTTGGAAAAGAAAGGATCGCTCAAGAATCGCTGTATGGCCCTCCTTCAAATATTTTCAAGCCATTGGATCCCAACAAGGACAAGGAGGACTATTCTCAAAATTATTCCGAATCTGATGAAGAAGTCCCTGTGGTAGCGGAAGAAGAAGAAGAAGAAGTTTTTTATTCCGGATCGGATGCTGAGGGCATTTTACATGATGTGACATCGGATTTTGAAGAACAAGAAGAAGAAGAAGAAACTTTCAAAGATATTGACACGTCCCTGCCCAATGGTGCCGATGCAGGCGATGGCGACTTAACCGGCGAGTCTGATTGTGGCCAAAATGAACTTTTACCTTGTGTTGCCTCACGGGAAGCCCGTGAGACGAATACATTAAGCAATCAAGCGGACGATACGGCCAATGTTGTTTCTTACGATTCAAGCGATTTATTTGTAACGGAAAAAACATTTGAAGATTTTGATGAAGAAGCCTTGAGAAAGTATCAGCTGGAACGTCTCCGATATTGCTTTGCTATCGTTGAGACAGATAGTGTCGAAACGGCCGAAGCCATCTACTCCGGCTGCGACGGACAGGAATTCGAAAAAACATGCAACATTCTCGATATTAGATATGTTCCTGATGGACAGGAGTTTTGCGAAAAAGACATCATCATCAAGGGCGGAGTTAGTACGAGTCCCATTGATAAGTATTCGCCCATCGACTTTACGACCCTTTCGCTGATGCACTCAAAGGTATCTCTTACCTGGGACGCCAATGACTTGCGCCGATCTAAACTTACAAAGGCCAGATTTTCCCAAGATGCCCTAGACGATATGGACTTTAAAGCATATCTTGCATCCTCTGATGATGAAGGGTCAGAAGAAGAAGAAGAAGAGCAAGGAACAGAAAATCATTGTGGCCACAAAAAAGAAAAATCCATCAAAGAAATTCTTTCTGTTTACAAAAAACTTGCTAATAGCCAGAGTCAGACAAACCCTTACAATGTAAAGTCTGCAAAAAATTTGTTTGAAGACGAAAAAGGGGAAATGTTTGATGTCGGAAAAGAGGCGAGCGACATCGATATGGAAATGACCTTCTTACAAGAAGATGACCAAGATGATCTTGAAAAAGAAAAGGTGGTGGAGACCGTTTTTCAAAGTCAGCTTCGAAAAGAAAAGGAGAAAAGAGATCAGAAGCGTGCAAAAAGAAAGGGGTTGCATGCTGATCATGTGGCTGCAAGCAAAGAGGACAAATCTCTTTCGCTGCTGGTGGATGAGCACAATGACTCTGACGGCGAAAATGCTCACTTCAATATGGACAAAATCATGAAAAGAGAAAGGGATTTGCTCAAGAAAAAACATCACAAAAACGAATCGATTCCAAAAGACTCGTTTCAAATCCAGCTGGATGACCCACGGTTTGCAGATATATATTCGGCCTATGAATACTCCATCGATCCATCACATCCTGGCTTCAAAAATACCTCTTCAATGAGAAAGCTACTTGCTTCAAAGAGGGCCAAACAGCCCAAAATAGATCCGAGGTGATGGGCATCGCGCACAGCGATGTTCTTTAAATTAATTAAAATTTAAAAATTAACCCTGCTCCTCCTTTTTCACACCGTCAAATGGTGCGGTGGTGATGTGCATGGTATTTGTTGCAAATTGTAAATGCTGTGTTGGCTTGTAAACGTTGGGTGGCGCGACAAATTTAATTTCAGTGAACCCGTGTGGCCATGTACACAAGTGTCGCCCGTTGCAGATAATTTACAAAAGATTTATTTTACAAAGTTGAATACAATTTAAAACCTTTCTGCAGGGGCAAAAGGCGATGCTGGGTCAACTCCCTCGAGCGGCGGAAGGAACATTGGCTGGCACTGGGCGTTCATGGCTTGGTATTTGTCGATGAAGACAGAGTCTTCTGAACCTTGCGACATAATGTTGGTATTAGAAAACATCCAATTCTCAAAATCATTCTTGCTGCAAGATGTTGTATTATAAATATTGGAAGATGATGATATGGAGTTGGGGGAAGGCACGTTGATATTGTCGCCATTGTTCGAGAATATGGCAGGGCACGACATTTTTCTCGGCGATGACGGAGAGTTATAAAACATCTGCGGTGAGGCCATATATAGCCCCCCACACGTTGCTTGAGAATGCGAGGGCAGTTGCCGATAGTCGAGTTGTTGCGGGATAAAGTAATCGGAAGGCCCCAAATATTGCGCTTGCTGAGAATCTAATGGCATCGCTTCCATGCAACCAGGATTCTTCGACGAATCTACTATTGTAATGGACGCCCTCCTCCTGGGGGCCTTGTCTGTTGATTTTGCTGCACTTTGCTTCTTCTTTGGGCGAGATGGTTTTGGTCGAACAGAAGCATTTGGCGGCGCATGGGAATGGTGGATGGTTTGGTACGCGTTAGGGTTTGAGTATATGTCACCCATGAAAAACCCTGCTGGTGATTGGTATAACTGTTGCTGCCCGTTGGCATGTGTTTGATGGTAAATGTTTGCGGAGACCGCCTGCGAAAGCGAGGGAACAAAATTTTCATCCGTGGCTCTTGCCCTTTTTTTCTTCAAGTAGCCGTTTTCAAACAAATGGAGGTAGTTTGGATCGATGCCCCAAAAGGCCCCCTTTCCGCAATCGGAGTCGCAACGAGGAATCTTAATAAAGCATTTGTTTAGCGAAAGGTTATGTCGGATAGAGTTTTGCCAGCCATTCAGCTGGTTGTGATAGTATGGGTATTTGCAAGTAATCCATTCATAAATTGAGCTGAGGGTCAGCTTTTTTGCTTCTGATGACAAGATCGCTTGTGCGATCAGCGAGGCATATGAATATGGCGGTTTTGAGCCGTCCTTGAAGGCAATTGAGTAATCTTCGAGTTGAATTGTTTTTTGCATGTTGAAGGGAGCCTGTGAAAACCCCATGCCATTGGACTGGGCATTATTGGGCGGCGCTACATTTTCTTTCTGTGAAGACGCAAATGCAGCTTCTGCATGCCGAACAGATGTGAAGAATTGAGGCGCAAAATGTTGCGAAAGAGCGTGGTGTGTATTTGCATCGGCATTGCCGTTGATAATTTTTGATTCTGGATGAACGATCGGGAGTGATGCAAGGGGTTGGTCATACATCGAATAGCAGTATGGATCTGGAGCGTTTTCCCCCATATACTGCCCAGGCATGAATGGAGACAGCCACATATTTCCGTTTGCATCGGGGTGCGAAAAGAACTGATTCGATCCTGCAGGGGAATGCATAGAAAGTTGGTGGTATCCGCCCATTTGTGTATTCCAATTATTATTCATACTCGATAACGGCCCGCCTATTTCAGAGGATGATAATGATGATGCTGATGATGATGGATGGGTCAGCTGCGGTCCATTGATTTTTGATGAATTAACGGATGATGTATTTGTTACGATATAATCCGTCATACAGAATAATGAATGTTGCCGGCTTGAATTTACTGAAATAAGGACATTCTTTAACGGAGATCATTATCATATGTCATTGTTTATACAAGAATTGATTGAAGATTATCGATTGGCCAGATCTTTTAGGAATAAGAGGTAGGCTGATTGTGATGGCCTTCCGGGATGATGATTGATAAATGATACGAACAGATAAGATTCATATCACACTGATGGTAACATTGAAGCATCATGAGGGCATGATCTTATGATTATTGCACTTGATAGTAAATCCAACCAAAGTGCCCCAAAAGTTGTGTTGCAATTAAAATTTAGGGCCAATTGCACGGTTCCCTTGAGCTTTTTGACGGCCCCATGGGAATCTCGTTCCACGTAAGTGTTGCGTTTTTATTGCAGCAATCGTTGGAAATAGTGTCCAAGCTGCCTAATCGGTCGCCTTCACTTCCAGATACCCTGGACAACATATACGCGTCAAACATTGCTCGTACTCGCTCCATACTTTGCTCGCTGATTCCAGAATTCGATCATACGTTCCCCCCGGTCATTCATATTGCTGGGACAAAAGGAAAGGGATCAACCTGTGCCTTAATTTGCTCCCTATTGCAAAAGTATCTGCCTGTGCGCAGAGTGGCTCTTTACACATCGCCGCATTTGAGATGCATCACTGAAAGGATGCAGATAAACAGAGTGCCGATAAAAAGACTCAAATTCGCCTCTCTTGTCGAGTACTTGGTTTGTGAAAAGGGGCTTGACGATCTTTTTCAGTTCCAGCTGCTGACGATCATTGCATTTCTTTATTTTTCCACCTGCAATGTGGACATTGTTGTGGTTGAGACCGGCATCGGAGGCTCATTGGACCCGACAAATATCTTCCCCTCGCCTGTTGCCACAATCATTACCTCAATAGGGTGGGATCATACCGACTTGCTTGGTACGTTTGGTTTGTCAATTTTTATCGCCCTCATTAGGAGACTCGCTTTCCTCCATTGCTGCAAATAAGGCCGGCATTATTAAGGTTCGTTCAACAAGGCTCTCATTATCAGAAGGGAGTTCCCGTTTTTGTGCCCTCGGACCTGCCATGCGAGGCATATGATGTGATTGAAAATATCTCCTGCAACCTCGGTGCTCCACTACTGCAATGCGATCCGGTTGGCTCGCATCTGTATGTTCCTGTTGGTATTTGATGCTTGTTTATGTGCAGAGGGATCGCATCAGCTGATGAATGCTTCTTTGGCAATCAACTCGGTCGATCTTGTGCTCAAACGTCTTTCAAGTCTTTGCACTTTGATTACATTTGACAAGGTTACCATGAGATGGCCGGGCCGATGCGAGATTCTGTTATCGCCAAAAGTACTTCCAGGCGTTAGATTATTTATTGACGGGGCCCACACGTCCGAATCGATTGGCCTGGCAACAAAGTGGTGGAACGACGCAAACAAGCCGTATCGGGCGTCCTCCAATTCATACCTCCTGTTCTCTTGCTCTGAACAGCGGAATTCTAAATACAACCTTTTCAACGCTGTTTTGGAACAATCGGAAACCCCTTTTGCTGCAATATTCAATGTCGATGCCGAAAAGCTGAGGGCGCTCCAGTATGTCGATGGGTTTTGTCCACAGTTTTCTGTTGCGAATGCGGAGGTGCTAAAATTGCGCAATGGCGTGGATTTTCACATTTCAGACCCCATAAACATGCTTTCAACGCTAAAATCCAACATACCTGAAGGCTCAAACCTGCTGGTCGTTGGGAGCCTGTTCCTTGTGGCCACAATTTTCAACATTTTGGATATTCCAGTGTTTGGCCACGCCACCACCTTTCAGTATTAAATTATAATAAACCAGCCAATCCCACGTGGCCGTGGAATCCCAGTACCGGTGCGCTTATCGGTGCACTTTTGCATTTGTATGCGCACACAGGCAGTTTTAAATTTCATTTTGTTGTGTTGCATTGCATTGCGCTTTGTTGTGCTGTGTTGTGTTTTGTTGCATCTGATTCCAACAACCCGATTAAGTTCAACTTAACTTGTGGCCTGCTCAAATTACAATTTTACCTAAATTTAATTAGCATTTAATCATGTCACTGGAGCTAGTTAAGGTTTTTGATCATCAGACCAGCCGTGTCAAGGGGCTTTCCTTCCATCCTCGCCGTCCATGGGTTATCGTCTCTTTGCACACAGGCATTATCCAGCTTTGGGACTATCATCACGGATTGCTCCTGTCGTGCTTTAACGAGCATGAAGGTAGTGCCTGCTGATCCTTATCTCTAGGACCAATTCGAAGTGTTTCTTTTCACTCGACCCAAAACATCTTCGCTTCTGGAGGCGATGATGCTAAGATTAAGGTTTGGAATTGCCAATCACAAACGCTCTCAGCATCTTCCACGGCCTCCAGCGACGCCGCCTCCAGTCGCTCCTTGTTTACTTTAACCGGGCACACTGATTATATCCGATCTGTAAGCTTCCATAACGAATCTCCTTGGATTTTGTCCGCATCTGATGACCAGACCATAAGAATATGGAACTGGCAATCCCGTCAATGTCTTTCAATTTTAACGGGCCACAATCATTATGTGATGAATGCCGCGTTTTCTCCGCTCGGCGATATGATTGCATCCTGCTCGCTGGACCAGACCGTTCGGATATGGGACATCACCGGGCTTTTGCGCAAATCTTCGGCCTCCTCTGGAACGGCAAGGGGATCGCCCTCGTCATCCCCATCTTCGTCGTATCCAGACCTATTTGCTCCCAGCGAAGTTGTGGTCAAACATATCATTGAGGGCCACGAAAGGGGAATCAACTTTGTCTCGTGGCATCCGTCTGGGCAGATGCTGCTGTCGGCGTCCGATGATCGACTCGTCAAAGTCTGGCAGTTGGATGCATTCAGGGCTTGGGAGGTTGACACGTATTCGGGCCATTTCAACAATGTCTCGTCCGCCGTCTTTGCATACCACGGTGACATCATCATCAGTAATTCGGAGGATCGGACCCTTCGCGTCTGGGACACGCATTCCAAAGCGTGCATTTTGAACTTCCGAAGAGACAATGATCGCTTTTGGTTCGTTTCTGGATATCCAAACACGGCTCCAGAATCCCAGATGATGATCTTCGGGGCCGCGCATGATAACGGATTTTCCATCTTCAAGTTGGAAAAAGATACGCCTGCCTTCACTGCCATCAATGACGATGGCCACGAATCCTCGTTTTTATATGTTTCTTCCGGTTGTTCGCTCAATTTTGTCACATGTGCACTTTCAAAGGCCCCGGAGAAAAAATCCATTGGCGTCCTTGTATCGGACGAAAAAAGCACCACCAACACGTTACATTTGGGCGAGTCCCCCACGTCAATCAGCTTGAACCCGGTGGATGGTTCAATTCTTGCCGTTTATAAAAAAGAATCCAAAAGCCACTGCGAGCTGTTTCCCAACGTTTTTATCCCACAGCCACCGGGAAGTTCATCTCATCAGTTTATAGGCATGATCACAAGCGTGTTGAAACTCCCTGCATTGAGCGCCGTTTTTCTTAGCAGAAATAGATTTGTCGTGTTGGATGAGGCAGGTTCCTCCATATTGCTGCTATCTTCTTCCGACAAAAACTTTTCCAAGCGAATCATTACTTGTGTCACTTGTGATAACTTGTTTAGCTCCACCATTCCCAACAGCGTTTATTTGACAAGCTCTGCAACGGATCGAATCTTGCTTTTTGATGTTCAGCAAGAGCGCATTGTTTCGGAGCATTCTTCCGTATTTTTTTCCGGATCTCCGATACTATTTTGCTGCTCTTCTGAACGTAGCGACTTTGTTGCCTTTGGCTCGAAAACAGGCATAATGGTGTTGACCAAAAAGCTTGAAAAGAGCCTTTCCAACATCCAGTGCAATTCAAACCATATCGAAAGCATGGCTTTGGACGACAAAGACCATCCGGGCACCGCTGTTTTATATTATTCCACGTTTTATAACATCAATTATGCCCTTGTATCTGGGGATTCCGGAATCGTGTTGCAAACGCCCTCGCCCATGTTTGTGACAGGCATTTCGAAAGGAAATTCGCTCGGAGCCATAGATAGGCGTGGCGTTTTTCAATTGTTGGATTTCGATCCTACCGAAATCAGGTTCAAATATTCGCTTGCTTGTCGCGACTACAGAACGTTATCATCGATCATTTCTTCTGGAAATCTTGTCGGCCAGTCCATGATTTCCTTCTTGTGTCGAAAGGGACATCCAAAATTGGCCTTGAAGTATGTTAAAGACACGCAAACCAGATTCGATTTGGCTTTAGAATGCCTTGACATCGACATGGCCTTGACCATGGCGCAAAAGCTTGATCTTTGTTCGTGTTGGGAAAATCTTGCAAAAGAAGCCATGCTTCACGGCAGGGTTCATGTGGTCGAGGAGTGTTATCGCCGATTGTTGACGTCCAACTATGAAGAGTATTCTTTTAAGCTGTTGTTTCTATGGATCCTAACCGGACAACTGGACAAGATCAGGCGATTTTGGAAAGAAAATTCATCGGGGCCTTCGACCCCGATTTTCGACTTTATTTGTGCCTTTGTTAGTGCCGATAAAGATGGCATTGTTGAGATGCTCCAGGCAAGCGGGCAACACATGTTGGCATTCGCATTCTCTGCAATCAATGGAATGGTCGATGGCAGTGGTGTGGCACAAGTTAACGACGATCAGAAAAAAAGAGTGTTCAATTTCATTGCTTCGTGTTCCGTTGGAGGCGCAGCGGAGCGCGCTTTGTCCGCTTTCAAGCCAAACCCGAAAGCTGAATGTGAGTGGCCGACCCGGGATTTGATAGAAAAGTCGCCAGAGCCTTTTTCACCACCCCATCATCATCATCATCATGATTTGATGCAAGAGACGAGCACTTTACAAACTTCCTCTTTTGTTGGTGAAGAGAAAATGTGTGTCGATGGCGCCGCGAAAGCTAACAGCCCTCCGGATACATCTTTGGTTTCCACGGAAGCTTGGGGAATTGACGATTTGGAGTTTGAAAAGCAGCAAAGTTCGATCTTTTCCAGTGAAAACGAAACGGCGGCACATGATGCCATTTCTCGAGCGCAATGTGTTCCCGGTATTGATCCGATTCACAATTTGCTGTCATATTCATCCTCCGTTGCGGCGGATCATATTGTGATTGGAAACTTTGAGGCTGCCATGATGGTAACTTTTATTCTTTCACCGCGCTAGTTGTTGAAAAACCGCTTTAACATCACCCTATTTGACCCGTTGAAGGAAAAGATGCTGTCCATATTTGCTACCAGCAGGCTTTCACTATCGTGTACTTATTCATTGCTGCCGATGGACGACTTTTTATCGCTATCTGTTGTTACACCGCCTTGTAGATTTGCAGAGCTTTTGTATGACAGGGGCCTATCTTTGACGACATCGGGAAAATTCGTTGAAGCTCTGGGCGTATTTTCCGATGCTTTGCAATACTGCTGTCTTTTCATCGGTTCGGCCCCCAATGATGATGAAGCTTTGAAAAACAAGTGCCGCGAGTACATCCTTGGTCTTTCCATCGAGCTGGCCAGACGTTCTCTCTCTTCATCAGAAGCTGGTCCTTCCTCCGATACGGTGGGCAAGTGCATTGGTTTGTCGTTTTTATTTACCCAATGCGGCTTGGAGGCCATTCATCTTTTGTTGACCCTTCGATCTGCGCTCAGCCTGGCCATTAAATCGGGAAATTATCGAATGGGCGCCCTGTTTGCTAGGAAACTTGTGCACGAAAATCAGCATGCCCCTTCCAATATCCAGCTTGCCCAAAATGTCATTTCTCAAATACAAAAGTCGCTCGTTGTTTGTGAGGAACATGTAAAAAAATCAGAAACAAGTGGAAACCCGGCAGATTGCAACCCTCCAATTCCTAGCTCCAACTACATGGTATCCGGCGCCACGCTCAAGTACATCTGTGCGCGCACTTATGAGGCCGTTTGGAGCAATTCCGTGCACGAGGACCCTCTTGTGTGTCCATTCTGTGCCGCCAAGTATCACCGAAATCTTTCTGCTCCTTTTGTTTGCGACATTTGCCACCTGTGCAAAATTACAAAATGATTCGATTAATAAATTTTCCTTAATTAAGCAGCTCGCGGTAAGCGGCTTTTGGGCGCACCAAACGCGTTTTAATGTACAACTTGTTGCTTTCCGGGTCATGTGGAAAACCATCTTTGAATGTACAGCTTGTGATCGGCCAAGCTCACCTTCTATTGACAAGTAAAACGAACGCCAATGTACTTTAAGCTCCAGCAGCTTCACCAATAGCGAAATGGACTGCTTTTCGGGCGGGTAGATCTTTTTAAACATGTCAACAAACTCGGCAGGTGCCGTGCTTGGAGGTATCAGCAGCACAGACACCAAGCTTTGCAACGTTGTAAACGCCATATTTAGCTGGTCGACCAGCAAATGCGACGAAAGGCCATTGATGGCAACAGATTGGATCGAATCCAGATCCGTCAGCAGCTACCATTAAAGCCACCCAAAATACCTTTTCTAAAAACGTAGGTGCAAGAGACGGGAATCGAGCGCTCCAGAGCTTTTCCTCAATCGCCTGAGATAGGGACTCAAAAATCAGGATATAAAACCGTTCAAATTCCCCGGCACTGGTAAAGTTCTTCGAGAGCGGTCGAATTGTGGTGAAAATCCACGACTTGATCTTTGAAATGTCAAAGGATTTCAGGGACGGGATTGCAGTAAGCACAGGATCCACCGACGACTGGTTCCCAGCTGTCGACGAGGTTCCGCGTTTGCCGATGTTTCGGACATATACGCCGATCGGGAATTGCCATATCAGCGATAGCGATGCCATCGCGTCCGCATTTAGCCTGAAGATTAGCTCCAAAACGGCATCACTTACTTGTCATAAAGCTGAATTACATGTGAATACTCGATTTCGGATCTAAACTTTCCATTTGAATGCTCAGAGCCCACMAGTCTAGACTGAAGCTGATCCAGTGAAAAGGAAATGAATTTTGCGGTATTGCTTATGTGGATCAAAAATTGAGCCCATTCTTCGACATTATCGGAGGCCTTATCCTCCAAAATCTTTGGATAGGGTGGAACTAGTATTAGATATCACGGCCAATAGGTACTGTTGAATCTAGACAGATACGCCGTGAATGCTTCCGATATCAATTGAGAAAGCTCATAAAGGGTCTTTCCTGTAGAAAGCGGAATAAACAGGTCCAATGATGCTCGACAGGAATCCATAAGTTGGAGGCACGAAGAAAATATTTTCTCAACCACGGCATCTGAAGAGGAGATTGGACAAACGACATTTGCTTGAGAGCCAGCCCCTTGTGCTACTTTAATCAATTCCCTAAGGTAACAGAGAGCGGGGTAAAACCTTTTTTGGTCAAGCAGAAGTAGAGATAAATAAGGCTCTAGAGACTCGGAAATGACCGTTGGAGTTGGCATATCAACGATCTTGGAAATGTCGTCCTCAAAAGCGTGAATTTTCCGCTTCAATGCCAGTGTAAGTTCTAAAATTAGATCCACTGGCTTTTTGGAAAGAGAGCGCAACATCCATGCACTTGAAATAAAAACGCCACAGCTAACCTGATTGTTGAGAGGCCTCGACATATAAACTCCCTATCCGGATTCCAGTCTTTTGGAAAGAAAGAGTAATGATCTGACTTGATGATCTGAAGTCTCCGAGTAAGCCATTCTAGCCTCTCTGTCAGATGAGATACACTTGAGATCTTGGTGGTCATCGATTTGCACACATACCTCTTGGTCTTCAGAAAAGATTTTGAAATATTCCTTAAATTGGACCGTTAAATAGGACTCAAATAAACTGGCCCTAAAGCTATAAGGCAAAGAGTGGAAAACTTTTCTCCAATCAGGTCGCAAATGCATGCTGCCATAAATAGAAATTCAGAAGCAGGCAAGGATGGTGGAGAGGGCTCCTCTGCTTGCACAAATGGGTTTTCTGAGATGAAGGGATTTTTCTTTGTCTCCAGAAACGGATTTTTGGGGGTGGGAGCACATTTCAGGTATCCTTGAAACGTGAACAAGGCCGAAATTTCGGTGTTCACTTTAACTTTGATGCGTTTACTTGCTTCCTGATATGAATCCAGAACTGAAGACATGCTATTAAGCATGGGGAGCTTCATGTATTCGAATTTTTGCCGGAATTTATCAACAACATCCAGCAAGGGTGAAATTTCCTGCACGCAATAGTAGATTTGCTTCCAGTTGAAGGAGGGAAGGGCCTCCTTTTGTAGCACAAGGATTACAGAATCTACGATACACAATAACGTCGATGCTAACCTACCTAGTCTCTGGAATGAGGACAAAAAGAAAAGAATGTCCTTAATTGTTCTTTTCTCAATCTCTAACCTTCGTGCTTTGGACACAATTTCGGCTACAATACTCTGAGAATCGGCAGAGCTTCTGGAAACCGATGAAATAGCCTCCCTTTGAAGCTGCGCAAGGCTATTCTATGCAATTAAGCGGAACAGCTACAAAAAGGGCCCTCTTATTGTCCTCAAATAACAAAGTAAGCGCATCTCTTCCAAACTCACCATCGCCTAAATCCAAGCGCGATTTCCTTGACCTATGATCATCCAAGAATCTCTTGGCATCGTTTTTAATCGATGATAGGGTGGATGCCAACGAATCCATCGAGCAGCTCTTAACGTGCTCGCTAAATTTAAATCGCTCAATGGTACATATCAATGATACCGCCTTTTGAAAGTAGAAAGTCTATGGTTGGGACACCGATCATTTGTCAAATTTCTGATTAGCAGCAAGAATTTAAGCCGATGTTTTGGAGTGCAATTGCGTGGCCCCGACTTTACCAACCCACAAAATGTTTCATTTTATTTCCGAAATTTTATTGACCATCACCACGGCAAATCGAAGATGAAGGGGATTCCGGTGCTCCTAAACAAGCAGGACGGGTTTCTATCCATCTCACCGACCCATTTTTCGTGGACAGATGTTAATTCTACATCCAAAGTGCAGTTCCCATTGAGCTCAATTACATGTAACGGACTAAACCCGCTGCTAACCCCTAGCTCTGCATGTTAATGCAGCCACGCCGGGCTCGACAAAGTTTCTTTTGAAAATCTCATTGAAGCCGATTGCAACACCCACAGAGCCCTTATTGCTGTCGTTTGAAAGCGAGTCTATCAGAAACATGATCAAGGAGCACATATCGCAGTGCATGGTGAAATCGACCTCATCGCCAGCGGCTCAATTGCGGATCAAGATTCTGGCAGAAACCCCGACCCTTCTATCGTTGCACAAGGAGCTCGTTGCGACCGGATTGATTACCGATGACGAGTTTTGGGCCCCGCAAGAGGTAATGTAAGTGCGTTTTATCACCATGATGCAGAAAGAAATTTCGCTTCTCTCCATTAAAGACCAAATGGAGAACGCAGCCTTCCCCCAATTGCCCTCAAGCTACCTGCCATCAACAAAGAAATTCTCCATTACGCCCGAAATCATACAAAGGCTATTTGCAAACTCGCCAAAGCGTAAGCACCCAGCCTTTTATTTGCAGTTCAACAAATTTATACCGACTTTGTTATCACAAGCAAAAAGTTGGACGAAAAGTCGTTTTGGACGTCGTTTTTCCAAAACGATATCAATGCGGTGACGAAAGAATTTAGCAGCAGTTCGACAGACGCGGAGGCCCGTATACCCTCGGACCTGCAATCGCTAAAGGATGCGGCCTTGGACTTTTCGGTGGAGTTAATGGATTTCCCGGACTCTACGCACGACCCGCTTATATCTGCCATAAACAAGTGGTCAACCATTCTGCTTCCACAAACGGCAGCACCATGTAGCTTGACACATGATGTTTTGAGCGAACATGCAGTGGCCTGCTTGGAGCTTAAATCGCAAAATGAGTACATCTCCAAGACTTCAGGTCAGCATAAGGCTGACTCTGACGCACCTCGGCCAAGTTTGCCTTTTTCTTGGATGGATTCTAATTTCAAACCTCGATCTTTGGATCTTTCTGGCGCATTTTGTTCACTGGATGAGGTGTGTGAAAGGGCATCTCCAACCGATTTTCTCTCTTCCTTTCTATCGGCGAGGGAGGATATAAAGCTTTTCCACGATAAGGCGGTGTATGTCCTGAAAATATTGTGGCATTCTCCATCCCCCTCTCCAGGTCTATTTTCTATCCTGGTAAGAATTCTGGATTTGTTCCGCATGATGCGATCGTCATTTCCGTCCCAACTCGAGGGTCTAGGCCACTCGTTAGAGTCCTCTTTGATGTTCGCAATCACGCAAGCGGAGCCATTGCAAAAGCGGATGAAAGTAAATAGCACTTGATCGGGGTTTGAAGCCTTTGCATCTACATACGCAACGCCCAAAATTCAACCTGGTCCACATGGTCTTCCGGCTCAACATAAGGCGCTTGTGCTTGCAACCAAATAATTGGGCATCATCCAACACGTTTTTATGTGCAAAAATAAACAAAAATTATCTAATCGATCGAAGAATACTTGAGCATGCCAGTGGCATCGACAGGATGCCATGACGCGCCATACACGCACTACTATGGCAGCTGGGCTGCGCGAATGGCAAAGTTGATGGCTTTTAAAATTGACGGCAAATTCAAGCATCTACTTGTCCCAGTCTCACAGCGGCAATGCAAGTCGGTTTCTTTCGAAACTTATAATGTGGTCGTTTATTTTTTCACTCGACATTGGCCATGGAAGCAAGTAACTTCAACTCCCAATTCCAGTGATCAACGCACATATCCACAAGATTCTTCGATGCTTTCCAGCCGAGAACATTCTCAGCAAGAGAAGGATCGGCCACAAGGGTATCCAAATCACCCAATCGCCTTGGGCCGATCTGCGAGATAGTGAAAGTTGAACCCTACTTTGAATTCTAAATGGTGATGCGAGGCTCTTTCAAGTTGATCAATAACTTCGAAGACCGTATAACCGATGCCCGTGCCGAGGTTAAACGCGGAAAAGTCCTTTGAAAGCGACGGAGCCTTTTCCATTGCTGAAACGTGCCCAGAAACCAAATCTTCAATGTGAATGTAGTCTCTTTTAGCTAATGCGTAAAATCATCACATCAAAACCTGATCCATCTTCCGTATGAAAGTCATCGCCATAAACGCAGAATGAGGATGTCCTATTTTATAGCCTTGAAGTCATCAGGGGTAGAAGGTTGGTCGTTTGCCGAAGAGGATCTTCCCCCAATTCATACTTGGGATGTGCGCCAATCGGATTGAAATATCTTAGCGAGACAACCTTGAACGGGAAGGAAGAGCTAGAAGCATAATCTGATAAGATTGCCTCACACATAGCCTTTGAGCGCCCATATGGCGAAATAGGATCAATTGGAGACGATTCAGAAAGTTCTGCATTCTGCTGGCCATTTGGCCCATAAACAGCAGCGGAAGATGAAAAGATAAAAGTAGCATCATCATTGCGTGAATATGCCTGCTTGTATTTTGAAAAAGAAGCGAGCAAGTTGATTATAGAAGACACGTTGTTGTGATAGTAAAGAAGGGGAGAAGAAAATGATTCTGGGACAGATTTGTATCCCGCAACATGGAAGATGGTCAAAATCTTGGTATCAGACAGGGAGAGCAAAAGAAAATCCAAATCGTCTGCTCTCGTCAAATCGATTTGGTAAAATTCAAATCTTGACTCGAAGCAAAAATCTCCGACAGTTTTTTTAATTCTCAATAAGTGAGCTATGAAAAAAGAATGTACAGCTAATTACCCTTTTTGGAATTGACCAAGTTGTCCAAAGCAATTAAAAAATGCCCTGCTTGCAAAAGCTTCACGCACAAATGGGAGCCGATGTAGCCTGCAGCACCTGTCACCAGAATTGCTGTGCGCATAAATCGAAAATCTGACTTTAATTGGAATTAGATCATTACAAAGTGATCTGCAAATAACGATTGGAGCAATAACGACAACATTGACGGAAATGGCCAAATGCTTTCTAACCCTAAATGCAAGTTTAATATCTCCATTATTTAAGGTTAGACAGCGTTTATAGCGAACTAAAATACATCCGCCGAATTAATGAATTTCTGGCATTGATTGGTGCGATTGGGTTTGCACCAAAATAATGGCAGTATTTCCAATCGTGTCCTGAAAGTACAGAGATCAGCCAAGAAAAGAGACAATTCCATCCTGAAATCTAAAGTTTTGGGCAAATCTACCCGGCATGCAGCAAATTACGTAGCTGTTGAGCAAGTATCGAGCTCGGTTGGGCCTGGTAATTTTGCAACTGCTTTGACTTTGCCTCAACAAAAGGGCTATACTCTTCGCAGGCATGAATATGCGTTTTCATACGCATGTTCTCACATAGCATGTACAA